TAATGTATGGGTTGAATTAAGACTTTCTATGGTACACTTATTTATTTCTGAATGCATTTAATACATGGAATTTACGCTGCCATCTCAAATAATGGCTGTGTCCCAATTATAGTAAGATCATCTATTCAGAAGTATACCACATCAACTAAGGACCAGGAAATCTGCCACAAAAGGTGGCCAAAATCGATGCGGCAAATGAAGGCTCCTGTTTTTCACATCTAGCAGAGCCCCGCGTGCGTTAAGACAGAACAAATTTGTTCTTACTTTAACACACAACGCCACCTCATTTGGTAGTCTGGTTTCTAAACGTGCATGCAGCAGATTAATAGCAGCAAATTAGAAGGGATAGAGAAGCTGCTATAGGAAACATACTGATAGCAATGAGAAATGACAGCTGACAACTTGTCTGCAGATGAGAAAACAGAAAATCTATAAAACACACAACCTTAAAAAGCATTAGCAGACGGGGACCCACTAGCGGAGGTGTGTGATCAGTAAATGACAAGGCAACCAAACGGTCCATAAGGACGTCATTGTATAATAGAGCAGAGTGCAGTAATTGATGTGCCAAATGATGATGCTGTACCATCATGAAAAAGGATGGACTCCATCCTTTAGAAAACTCAGCTCTCTGAACTGTTTCCTTCCTTGGGTCTCCTGGTAAAGTGAGAATTTACTGTGTCTTATTAAACCTTAAAAGTTAGAAAGTGATGATATAAGTGGACCCTTTAGAATGAGTAATTTGTTGATAAAGCATCTATGAGAGAGATATACACAAAATAGGTGCCTAACAGAGGCCACCTGGACGTGAATACTGACAATACTTTATGACTTTCTTCTCAGAGATTTCAGTGGAGAGACAGCTTTCAGATTTAAATCTCGCTGGGACTTGCAGGGTCTCACACTCAGCAGCTAGTTTATTTTATAACTGTGCACTTGTTCTTGATGATGCAGAAAAAGGTCTGGTAAGTGTTCTTTGGACTTTTTTGTAGAGAAGGGACTTTGTACGTGCCTGTACACACGCATACGCCATTAAAAATAATCCTTGTGATAATTGTGAAGTTATATGCTATAAATTCTAGCAATGCACCACCATAATCCTTTCAAAATTTCATGTTTACTAAATACATCCAAATTTGCTTTTGTTTTTAAGTAATTGTACATAAGCACTCAAATGCACACCCTCATCACGATGTGGCTCCCTTAGGGAGAAATTTCAAATGGACTATTAATAAAGGAAGACAGGATGCTATTTAGCTAGCATGAGGCCCCACTTTATTGTTACTGCCATCACCGTCTGTTACTTGATTCTTGGCTCTCTGCTGTCACATGATTGTTGACATGATCTGTAGTTTTCTGTACCTTATGACTAAAATGTACAGAGAACAGTTTTGTAAAGTTTTCGGTAGCATGGTAATGAAGAACATTGAACTGAGTTTAGGGACCCTGGCCCCTTGCCCACACACCCTTTTGCTCTTCTTAGATATGTAATTTTTCCTAAAAAAAATCTGCTCTCTGTGACTGTCCTCAGTTTTTAATCTTTGCAAATCTAGCTACCCTTGCTGTTTGAAGATGCTGTTTTTGACCCCCTGTGGGTTGAATTTTTGGTTTAATTGTTCTTCCCATTAATGGTGATGGATTTGCACGGGATTTAGCCACACACTGGTTTTCAGTTTCATTTGTTTCCAGTGGCATGTGTTTGCAGAGGTAATGGATTTGCAGCCGTAGACAATTGCAAAACCATGTGATACACAGAGAGACCAGAGCCTGTGACCTCAGTTTGATTAGCATGACACTGTACACATGTATATTTCAGAGATCATTAGATTTTAGTAGTGTGGATTCTTAGAATGTTTAAATTTGATTTTTAAGATTTGTTTTTAAGGAAAGCAATACACTTCAGGCTTTCTGTTTGTGAGTACTGCGTAGGTACATGTGGATGCAACACGTGCTAACTGAGTCACAGCCATTGTTGGTGTCGGTGCAGACCAAATCAGCGTTATTTATATAGCTCATGCTTAGAACAAGAGCCTGTAACTTGGAATTCTGTGTCCCGTGTTGTTTCCAAAAGGAAGCTAGGTGTAAATACCGCCCAGATAGCCTCTGTTGAAGAGTGATTTGTTTTGCAGGTAACAAATGGGAAAGGGAAGGGTAAAGGGCCCTTCTGTAAAATGTTGTGTGGGTGCCCGTAATTTAAACTGATGCTGCAGAAAGGAAGTATCATTTTCACAAACAAAACATAGTGGCTTAGTCATTTTCCATTTCTAGATGATGAATGCGCCATACATCCATATCATGTTTTTCTCAGAGTGAATGGCGTACTATACTTACAGTGAAGCAGCCTTTACTGCAGAGTTGCCAAGGTAACTGACCAGCAAGTATGCAGTTCAGCACATTGCAGAAAGGCAATTGAGTACATGTGAATAAAGAAATGTGCATGTCATCTTAAAACCCATGAGGGCCATGGTAAATTGTGGTTTGGCTCTGTAGATCACAGCAATGGTTTTTATGAAAGCGGAAACTGAGATGTTCCATACTAGTCCTTGTAGTGAGGTGATGTGCAGTGGCAGGTACCCCTTCGTGGTTCCCCTTCAGGCCTTGCCAAGGGCTATATAGTAAATAGAATCATTTCAATATTGTTTAATATGAACAACCTTTCTTTTGGCTTTAGAAGCTAGCTTTTATTACCTGATGGCGGCAAAAACTAAGGGGGACTCTTAGTTTATAATGTAAATGGAGGATGATAACCCATAAACTGCTACACACATGTGAGAATTAATTCGTTAAAAAGCTGAAATTTAAGTTAAGTATTATGTATACATTTAGTCCACAAACATAACACCTGTGTTTACCTCCACAGTGCTTTTTAAGTAGAAGGTTTTCATCCATTCAACAGGCATTGATAAAATTATTCAAATATGTCAGACACCTTCTAAGTGCCAAGAAAATAACAATGGTAAGTAAAATTCAGTGCTGGACTTCAAGGTGTTTTAATCTCTAGAAAGAATAAATTATGTAAACTCTAGAGAGATTCCTTTAGATTATTTAAAGTACTCCTGTGCTTTGAGGGTAGGATTGTGATCTAGAATTTAACCACCTTGACATACAGAATGAAGTAACTTCTCAGTAGGGGTTCACAAATCTCCATAATTTGACTCTTCTTCCTAGTTTTTCTCCTTTTGCCTTAAATATATCTCAAGATCACAACTTAATTTGTTTTTCCTTGGAAGTATCCCATGACTGTATCTTTCAAGTTTTCACCACTGAAATGCCCGAATCCCCATCTATGAGTTTCAGAATCTTGTTAGTATTTTATGAGCCACATGGAACTCTGCTTCTTACATAAATCTTTTCCAGATCTTTTCCAGCTTCCATTGCTCCTCACCATCTTACTATGTATTGCCAGAGCAGTCCATACGTCTGGGAACATACCTAATTAGGTGGGCATTGGTCTCCCAAACCAAATGGTGAACTCATGGAAGGCAGGGACTGGGCCTCCTCCATTTTCACATTCTCCACAGCCCCTGGCATTCAGGGGAGGCTGTGGAATCCAACTGATGAAAAATCTCACATTCTCATCCTCTCTATTTTTCTGTGACTTGCTCATTCTTTTTTTTTTTTTTTTTTTTTTTTTTTTGGAATAGGACCATTTCCACAGGTGAGTAAATTGTTCTTGGGGGGAAGAAGTTGGGTATTCTAAGGGCCACATGCAGAGTACTTATGAATACTAGCAAATCAAGTCAGGAAAGGAGGAGTCTCTCTATGTACCTAGTTTAAACATAACTTGCAGCTTCCTTCCATCTGTTATATAGCCTTTGAAGTTGCGTTTTTAGTAGCAAAGCTATGGGTACATGAAGCTACAATATTTTCATTCAGTTCTCCATTTTTGTCAGCCATCCATAGAACTGCAGGGACAAGTTTTCACAGATAAAGAAGCATTTTGTGAGAGTTTGTATTTTTATGCTGAAAAATTTACTGTCAGTGATTTTGCTATCTAGGGCTTTTAGTTGTGAGCCTAGGGTAAGTAGTCTTGAGGTTCTCAAGGTTAATTACTACATTCACAAATCCATCAGTGACTAAGAGAAAGAACTGACCTGATAGTATTTATCTGTTTAAAAATTGCCACCACTAGCCAATCAGGAAGATAAAAAACTAAAAGAGATTGTAGAGGTGACAAGTGTAATGGCAGTAATGTGTTGGTGGAAATGATGATATCACAGGAAAAAGAATAGGTGGGAACTAATTAAACCAATTTAGCCATTTTAATGTACTCACATCACATAAGTAATCGGTAACTCTTGAAATCTGCCCCATTTCATTGAAAGAAATTATTTGCGCTGAATTTTATTATGCGATTGTTATGTTTATTTAGGATGTAGAATACTAGAATAGATTAATAGAATTATTAAAAGTCAAGATCAGGTAAAATGGAGTAAATCATTTCTAGGATAAATACGAGGAAAAAGTATCCAATGCATTTTTATAAGCGTATATGAAAGTCACCTATTATATACATTTGATATTATATAGTCTGCTACGCTTTGTCTGGCAAATAGTTAATATGGTTTAGATTTTTACCACTTAAAAATTACTCTTTATACTTCACTTTCAAAAAAGAAAAAAGAAAAAAGAAACTGTAATCATAATTATGTGGTGGGTCAGTTCTCATATATTTTGTTGGTAATAATTTCCATAAAAAGAAATTACCAAAAAAATATTATGAATGTCTTCTTATTTAATAACAGCTTTAATAATTAAATGTGCCTACTTTTGTTTACATAATATTTGAGAGTGTCTAAACGCACCATGTTGAAAGAGTTGTTTCATGTTTTGTCCTGAAGTCACTTCCCTTTAAAACAAACTTCTTAACAATATCTTGCATGCTGCTTCGGTTCTCCCAGAAATTTCTAAAGAAGCAAAACCCTTCTTTGCAGTGTAAGCAAACTATGAGCGTTTCTCATTATCTGTCTTTCGATCTCTTATCTTTCCTTTGTTTTCAGTGTACACTATTTTCTCGAAGGTGCACTCTGATCGGAATGTGTACCCATCTGCAGGTGTCCTCTTTGTTCATGTTTTGGAAAGAGAGTATTTTAAGGGGGAATTTCCACCTTACCCCAAGCCTGGTATGTTCTCAGTGGGAAACAAGTGGGTAATTTACTAAATTTTCCTTTTTGTTCAGTGTATATGACTCACAAGGTCTATGATCAAATATTATTAACATTATTCAAAATGGTCTGTAAATGTGATAAATTGGCTGTTGTAGGGATATTTCCTGTTTTAAGATTAAAAATTTAATCAAAGAAGGAAATAATTCATTTTTGAATTAAAAAAAAAAAAAAGCTTGTTTCTAGTTTTCCAATGTTGAGTTTTGTGCTTCTGACAAATGACCTACCTGTATTCGTGTAGAAATAATTATAGCTGTACAGTTATGATTTTCCGTATTAAGACTTCGATTCTTATGTAGCATATTGATCTTTAGAAGACTATACATATGTTGTAGAAGAGAATGAAATATGGTATTTAGAAAGAGTTCTCAAGAAAGCTTTTACAATATGAGATAATTTTATATAACTTCATAATATAATGAAGATTAATTTTTCCTTCAAAATAATACTAATTGTGAAACCTTATTTAATTCACTGTTGGTTTAACGCCACCTGGATGGCTCAGTCAGTTAAGCATCTGACTTTGGCTAAGGTCATAATCCCACAATTAGTGCGTTCGAGCCCCATGTCGGGCTCTGTGCTAACAGCTCAGAGCCTGGAGCCTACTTCAGAATCTGTGTCTCATTCTCTCTCTGCCCCATTTGATGAATACCATCAAATTAATTAAAATATAGAAAGGGTAGCAAGCAAAAATGTATTTGTTACTATGACTCCTAAGTAACAAACAATGAACTTTTTGAGAATTGTAGCATTAGAATTAATATAAATGTTATTTTGTAAATTATGTGATGAATAACATACCTGAAAACAGTCATAGAAAATAGTTAATCATGTTCTCACCAGCATTAAAAAAATAATCTTTTTATAAGTTATTTAAAAAAAATTTTTTTTAATGTTTATTTATTTATTTTGAGAGAGGGAGAGAATCCCAGACAGGCTCCACACTGTCAGCCCTGAGTCCGATGCGGGGCTCGGACTCACAAACCATGAGATCATGACCTGAGCTGAAATCAAGAGATGGTTGCTTAACCGACTAAGCCACCCAGGCACCCCCCCCAAAAAAAGGTTTTTATGTGGCATTCTGTGTTTGCAAAACAACACAGCTGAGCCTTTTGAGCAGTAGCTCCAATGTTTGTGAAGAAAATATGTAGTTAAGAGCATAGTTTCTGGAATCTGCCAGAATTAAATTCTAATTTCACCATTTAATAAGACCATGGAGAAGTTACTTAACATGGAAAATTACATATCCCATGAATAAAATTAGGGCTAATATTATTAGCAACATTTTTATAGGTGTGTTTGAAAATCAGGTGAAATAGTGCCTATAGAGACCAGGCACATTCTAACAAATGGTGCTATTATTATTATTTATTAATTACAGTTCTTTTTGGATTTATAACATTCTCCATAGTTTTAAAATTACAGTATTTTTGTTTTGATGATACTTTTATCATTTTGAGATGTCCATTATGATTAGTTTGATAGTATCCAGAGTGTTATGAAAGAAAGGCTTCTCAAGAAAATGTGTGCATCAGCATGATTAGAGGATTTTCCTGAAAGATTGTTGTCTCCTTGGCAGAACTTTCACACTCCTATGTGACAAAAAAAAAAAAAAAAAAAAAAAAAAAAAAAAAAGAAAGAAAGAAAGAAGGAAAGAAAGAAAGAAAGAAAGAAAAGAAAGAAAAGAAAACAAATTTCCGAAAACATTGTATGACTGCTTTTCTTTGTTGCATAAGATTTCCAGGCAAACTAAACAACCAAAAAGATGTTTTCTTTACGTGAGGCTCTAATTGAAATTCCCAGATGGGTTGGGTTTTTGTTTGTTTGTTTTGTTTTGTTTTGTTTTGTTTTGTTTTTTTGGTGTGTATTTAGTTTGCTACAAATGTAAGAAAAATTTTTAGAAATATTTTGATTGAAATTACCAAAGCAACATGTGTGAAAATAACTGTCTTATATCTTAATTCTGTGTTTCTTATCTAGGCGAGATTAGTAATGATCCTATAACATTTAACACAAATTTAATGGGTTACCCAGACCGACCTGGATGGCTTCGATATATCCAAAGGACACCATATAGCGATGGTGTCCTGTATGGGTCTCCAACAGCTGAAAATGTGGGGAAACCAACAATAATTGAGGTAATTTACTTAGAACTTTTTTTTTAATTTGGAAATATGCCATTCCTTTCTGTTTATCTACCAAGGTCTTTGTTTCAGCTTTGTATATAAAAAGGGGAGCAGTCTAAATTAGTGGGAAAAAATTAAAAGACATTTAAAAATGATAGATTACTATAATATGAATTCTATGTAAGAAAGTAAATACAAACTTAAAACACTTATTTGCTTTATATATTAATTTCAAATTGCATGTTCATTGAAATACAGTCTTTAAACAGACATGTGCTCCTATCATGTGCTAAGTATTATGATAACTGCTGGTAGTAGAAGATGAGTAAGAGGTGAGTCCTGCTATGTCTTCCAGGAGTTGAAGCACTGGAATGGAAATCCATTGTTAGCCAACACTGTCATAACTATTTTAATAAGAAGGTACTGTTTGATACCGAGTTGTAAAAGGGTAAATAGGAATTCACTTCACAAGTAGAAGGAAGGCTATCTTAGAAGAAACAGCACATCAAAATCTTGGAGGTGTAAGCAAAACCACACGATCTAGAGAACTCTAAGTGTGGCTAGAAGGCAGGATGCACTCCAGAGGGCGGATGATGGGAATAGAGATGTTGATGTTGGTAGGGGTAGATCTTTGAGGGCTCCGTAAGCCAGGGTGATATGTTTGGCCTTTATTCTGGAAGGAATGGATGCTATTATAATCCATCAGATTTTCACCAGTACCTAACATCATACCTGGAAGACATTAGAAATTAGAACAATAGGGGTGCCTGGGTGGCTCAGTCGAGCGTCCCGACTTTGGCTTAAGTCATGATCCCCCGGTTTATTCGTTTGAGCCCCGCTTTGGGCTCTGTGCTGGCAACTCAGAGACTGGAGCCTGCTTGGGATTCTGTGTCTCCCCCTCTCTGCCCTTACCCCGCTCACACTCTGTCTCTCTCTGTCTCTCAAAGGTGAATAAACATTGAAAAAAAAAAAGAAATTAAAACAATAACAAAAGCAATATTGACATTGAATGGGAATTAACACTATAAAAACTAAATGGATATAAAAGCTAGTAAGGTTTCCCTGTCATACGCAACAAAATCAGAATTATAATGGCAGTCAGTGGCAAGAGAGTCCTACTATAGTTTTATACCCTGATGCCTCAGGAGCTTAGATTTCTAATTTAACTTATTAATTCCATAAGGGTTTAGTGGTAGTGACCAGAGCAGCATCATAGGAGCTACTAAATGGAATTGCCAGGAGCTTGTACAGGTCCTGAATGGCATGTTTTCTATCTGGTATAAACTCTCAGGGGATCACATGCTTTGAGTTTTTCTCCAAAGTTTTAATCAGCCATAGACTGTGGATATGAACTTCTGTGTTGGCAAAGAGAAGGTGTTTCTTCTTTTGAATTGAAGTTTGAATTAATATGACTTTCCAGTGACTTCTATCAATAAATCTCCTTCCAGTAGACAATGTAGATATAAGATACAGAAATAGAACATATAAGTATCTACATAGATATATATGTAGATATAAGAAAAAGGTTATTTTGAGTTATTGTCAAAATATTTTTTTTTAAATTTTCGGTAAAGTTATATAGGTTAGTTACCTAAAATAATGTCAAATGTCATTTTTTTAATTGGAAAACACTAAAGGAATTCCATTTAAATTAAAGAGCAAAACAAGAGTGAACCCCTCCATCACATTTATTACAGAATATATTAGAAATCCTAGCCATTGCAGTAAAGAAAGAAAAAAGACCATTAAATCTGTAAGTATTTAAGGGAAGAAATAGAATACTCAATGATATAAATAGTCTATAGACTATTAAAATTTTAAGAAAGCCTAGGAGTAAACTATAGGATCAATATGAAAAATCTGGTTCTGTTTCTATACATGAAACACAAGTATTGAGAAAATATATGTTTTAAAAAGATACCATTTATAATAACAGCAAAAATTGTAAGGCACTTAGAATAAATATAACACAAGGTGTGCAAAGTCTATATGGAGAAATTTATAAAACCTAATTGATACTAAGATTATATAAGTGAGAAGGTAGTCCATTCAGTGACAGGAAGACTCAAAATCATGAAGGCATCATTTCCCCCCTAATTGATCTATAGATTCAATGCCATTCCAAGAAAAATTGCAATAGGTTTTTTTCATGAAACTAATGTCAACTAATTCTAAAATTTATAAAGAAGATAAATTTTAGTGCCAAGAACAATCAAGGCACTCCTAAAGAAAAAAAAAATAGAGGGGAGGAAGGTTTCTTTCCCTTCCAGATATCAAGATTTATTATAAATCGCTAGTAATTGTCATAAGGTTGTATTGATATAGGGATAGACAAATTAACCAATTAATAGAATGGAGAGCCCAGAAACGGATACATCTACATAAGGAACAATGATATACGTCTGAAGAGGTGGTACCACAGCTGACTGGGGGAAAGGATGTCAGTGAATGGTGCTCAGAGAATTGGTTAGCCAAATGGCAAACACAAAATTAAATTCTTACTTCATAAGAAATACAAAACTTGAGTTTAGATAGTTTAAGGATTTAAATATGAGAAGCAAAATTTTAAACTGTTATATGAAAAGGTTGAAGAATATCTTTCTGAGTTTGGGGTAGGGAAGGATTTCTTAAACAATACCTACACATTTTTACTTAAGAGAAAAGACTGATAAATTTTACTGTGCTACACTTGTCAACTGGTGTTCATCAAAATCGTTAAAAAATAGGCAGCCCACAAACTGGGAGAAGATATTTTAAAAATATATAGCTGACTAATGATATGTATCTAAATTATAAAAAAGGACTTGGTAATAAGAAAAAAACATGAAAATAAGTAATAAGGCATGAACAGACATCTCACTAAAGAGGAGACACAAATGACAATTAGGTAAAGAAACTTACTCTGATCAGTAATGAAAAATGTTCAGATTAAGACCACAATGAGAATTTTACCCTTGGTAAAAGTCACCGAGGGTGGATATGGGGATTAGATAAGCACTTTGGAAAACAGTATTGAATATTTCACATAGATGAGTGTCACTGTACCCTATAATCCTATAGTCCCACTTCTAGGCATATACCTAAAAGAAACACTTGCAAATGTCCACTGGAGGTGTGGCCAATCATGCTTATTGAACGATGTTTGTATAGCAAAACACTGGAAACGCACAGAGCAATGGAGACCCAAAAGCCTGTCAGCAAGAGAATAGATAACAAAAGTCTATGAGAAGAATAGAGAAATAAATTGTGGAGTTTTCATTCAGTGAATTAAAAAAAATTTTTTTTTAAGTAGAGTGGACACACAGTGTTACATAGTTTCAGGTGTACAACATAGTGACCTGATAACTCTCTAGTTATGCAATGCTCACCACAAGTGTAACTACCATCTGTCACCATACATCTCTATTATAATATTATTGAATGTTTACAGCAACAATGAATGTAAGCTTGCCCAGCAACATGGACAAATGTTTTAAACATAATGTTGAATGAAACAACCAGCCCCAGAAGACTACATATAGTTAAACACTGTTATAGAACTCGGAAACAAGCAAACTAACATATTTTAAGCATACATGCATTTATAATAAGACTATATTTAAAAACGAATGGGATGATAAACGTAAAATTCAAAATGGCTACTGCTGGTTGCAGAGAGGGATGGGAGAGAAACACATGTCTTGAGCCAGGATTCTCAAGGGTTCATGATGTTCTCACTCATACCTTACTACTAACATAATGTTACCAATATGTATCAAATAATATGCTAAAAAGGTAATGATGAAAATTTAGCATATCTTTCATTTAACACAAGTAGTGATTTATCTGTAAATAACATATCTATATTTGTGTATAGTAACACATTTACAGTATTTTAAAATATTCTATTAACATAGTCAAAAAGAGGTTTGCATATCTTAAGCTAATATTTAAACATATAAACCCACTGGTTAATTTACTCATTAGATATTTGTTAAGCATCTAAAATAGATCAGCTACTGTTCTAGGAATAGGGGATCAAAAAAGCCTGAACGCATGCATACCTCTCTGCTATGAAGGGCTTCACATCATCATGAGAAGTAAAATATGAGAACGTTAAAATGTTACTTTATTTAAATACCTCATTAGAAGTGATAGACTGCATTCTGTTATAGCTGTTAAAATTAAACATTAAATATAAATTCAGATAAAATTCTCTCCCTGATTTATGAAAGGTCCTTCATTCAGTAGCCTGTGACTTAAAAAAAAAGTATTAGAATTTATGAAATTTATAATAATGAAATTTGTGATAATTATGGGAAGGTTAGCCATAAAAAATCTCGCCACGAACTTGAAAATGTCTGATCTTTCTGAGTTTTAGCTTTGAGATACTCTAACAAATAGTAGAAAATTGATACTTTTTTTTCCCATTGAGAACATGATTAAGTTATTTCACAGGGTAAGCTTTTAAAATCCTCAAGTCTTTTTTGCATTTTTTCATTTGCTTCTTTGTGAGCAATAGTTCCTAACTTATTTTAATGACTCGTCTTAATTTTAGTGTCCCGTGGGAAACTTGTTGATTATGTGTCCCAACAGACAGCAACAAGGAAGTCATTAAACCCAACAGAAATTTGACAAATTGGGGACAGAGAAATCCTTTTAACTTCGTGCAATAATATGCTTTTCAGAATATGTACTTTCAAATAGTGTTAAAGGTTTGGACTTACTTATTCCAAAATTCTTTTTTTTATTGTTCTCTCAAATAATATTTCTGGTGAGTGTAATTTCTTTCCTTTAAAGCTCACATATGATGCTATAACAGTCTTTGATATTTATTTTTAAATGAGCCAGATTGTTCTTTTCGTTTGAGTCAGTTTTGTCCTGCTCTTTTTGTCTCAATGTGCACTACAGCTTGTCACTGCCAGAAGGCTAGTGCTGGGATTCTAAGACGATTGCACAATCATTTGTTGTTTTTGAGGTACTGCACACCTGTCTGAATGATTTAATATCTGTTATAAAGTTAATTATTCCTTAATTTTTGAGGCCCTATCTTGTTGTTGGCCTTTGCTTTGTTTGGTGTTTGCACTGGCCATTTCGCGGTTGACTTTGATGTAAGTTCATTGGCTCTGCAAATGTTTACTAATATTTGACTCTACAAAGGGATTGATTTGTGTTTTTGAGCATGTGCCATAAGCTTTACAGACTATGATCCTTATTATTCTTCTGCTCCCATTGGGAGATACGAGGTCCAAGGGGTTATTCATGCATTTTTTTTGACTGGTTGGTGTGCAGTTTATTACTGAATACAAAGAACACAGAGATGTGCTTTTTTTCAAAGTGTACTTTTTAGTATAATCCTTAAGCTCCATTTAAAAGTGCAAAAATACATTGTTTTGGCTTTTTTGAAATCTTAGACCGGCACTGGTAAGTAATTTCTAATGGTTAATCCATTTACTAATGATGCATCTTCGTTGGTACTAGCACTTAATGGTGTTCTATAAAAGGGTCTTTCCGATTTTAACTTTTTGTTTTTGCATGTTAAATAGACTTGACTAATTATTTATTTTCCCATAACATTGCTAAAAGCTCTGAGTCGTTATTGCCCGGAGAAGGCACATTTTGTAAGTATATAAACAAATAACGAAAATGGAAAGAACGACAATTTGTTTTCATTTCGTCCTTAATGAATTTCATTTCCCAAATAACATTTCACTTCTTTAATATGATTTTCTTTTTCTAACAGATAACTGCCTACAATAGGCGTACCTTTGAGACTGCAAGGCATAATTTGATAATTAATATAATGTCAGCAGAAGGTAGGTACGAAGGATATGTTGCTGATTGTTTTCTTATTTACCAGAAGTATTTCATTATGTTTTATATCTATGTAAAACACAATTCAAGATTTTAACGTACCACATACCTAATGTTACCAATAAAGTAGTAAAGTGTAGAAAAGAAAGTGAAGCAATATTTAACTGGTTATAAAATATTATGATGTGTGATGATGCTGAAAAGCTCAGAATAGGGGGCCAAACACATGGGCCACTTATCTCTCCAAGCCTTGGTTTCATCATCTGTAAAATGAGACTAAGACCAGCATTTCTCTCCCAAGTCTGGGGTAAGGAAGGAGTCTCTGAGTTAAGGATTGAAATGTACTTAACATGGGGCTGAGCTCAGAGTGTACAGTCAGTAATTATTAGGTAGTTTTATTACTTTACTTTAAAACTGATCATAGGTAGTGGTTTAATTGTGTGTGAAGATGGAGAGTTGTTGATGGGAAAACACTGGAGTTTGGGTCACAGTCTCCTTCCTAAATAGCAAATCACGCATTGCTAGAGCCTATCAGCAATTTGGAGTTACATATAGTCACATTGTAAGTTACTCCCAAGGATTTGGAAGGTTAGGGACACAGGAAATATTCTAAGAGTTGCACTCTCAAGTATTCTGACCCTTTTCTGGCATTCAGTTGGGAAAAAATTCATGCCACTAAAAACTTTGTAGTTAAAATTTGTAAATCATGGGATACTCCTCTCTATGCTAGATATCATTTATGAGGGTAACAGAAGAACTGACACAGCATTTTTACCCATAAAATTAGTAAAAGCAATTGTGCATCTTAAATAGGGAATTCATAGTTCTATTTACCAGTACAATTAAATGAGCAAAGAAAATATTTTATTAGAACCTACTAATTTGCAATTCTTGATAATTGAGTTGAGAAATACCTCTACACTATTTGAAAGAAGGCAATATTTATAGAATTGATGCTGCAAAACATAATTGGGGAGATTGCTTAAAGATTTTGAACCCCTATACGTGAGTTTTTTCCCACGTGTTTTAGCAGTGTCAATTGCACACAACAGTGTGCTAGTTTAAAACTTAACGTGACTTTCATATATGAAAGGCAAGTTCAAATGCCAGTTCTGTGGGCCTGGACAGAAGATTCCCTGTCCCCTTTTCTACTTCCCAAGGGCTTTTGGTAGGTATTCCTGTTTGGATCCGGAAGACTTTTGCAATTGTAATTGGATGCTCGCATCCAGTCTAAGCTATCCTTATAGAATTGAAATACCATTAATGGTCAGAATAATCACAAAGTTCCCTTTCTCCTTGGGAATTCATCAGTGTAGTGATGTAGTTACATTACAGTGGGCTTGGACCACTAACCTGACCATTATGCTCCCAGAGGGGCTCCCCTTTCTCAGGTACAGAAGTCCCTACAGATTGAAAGACAGTCTGGTATACAGTTTGAACTTCCTCCTCAAGTCTGGTCTCAGGACTGGTAGATACAGAATACACGGGCATCCGTCCTCTATGTGTTTGATATGTAGAGACCTATGCTCAAGCAGATACATCTGTAGGATTGAAAGTTGGCTTTACAGGCTATTTATTTTATTTAATGTGTATTTATTTTAGAGAGAGAGCATGAGCAGGGGAGGGACAGAGAGAGAGGGAGACAGAGAATCCCAAGCAGGCTCCGCACTGTCAGTACAGAGCCTGACACAGGTCTCAAGCTCACGAACTGTGAGATCATGACCTGAGCCAAAATCAGGAGTCGGATGCTTAACCAACGAGCCACCCAGGTGCCCCTGTATCGGGGGTTTTAAAGGTGTGTTGGTGAAGGAGGAAGAGTAGATAGATTTTGGAAGCCTCCACTTTTATTTTGGGCGGAGCTGCCCCACTGTCTTTTACATAGGGTTCAGTGGCCCCAAACTGTGAAAACCAGTGAACCAAATAGCATGCGTTTATCCTCACTGGTCTCGATGGAGTGCATGTGGGCACTAGGATGTACATCTTTGAGCAGGGCCTACACACGTGCCGTGTCTCCCAGATAAGGTTAGGAAGAGAAATAGCAGGAGTCGCATATCAGGATAATCATGCTCAGTCTGACTCTCTGCCCAGCTGTCTCCTCCTCTGAGAGACCTAATGGGAAATTAGTCATGTAGAATCACAGAGCTTGGAGCTGAAGGAGAGTACATAGAGTGATTCTCTAAATTGGGTCTAGTGCCTCAGGGGCCTGCCACCAATTTGTTGGCCTGCCGTTCCCTTGGCCTCTGTGATGTCCAAATATAGCAGGCATGGGATTTCCCCAAAGTTAGAAAGCTCCTATGACTCATCTTTGGAAGGTCTGGCAGTAGCTCTTGGCTCGGTGGACAGCAGGCAGCTGCAGGGCCCAGAGCCTCCAAGGGGTGTGGCGGCAGTGGGTCTCAGAAAGGAGCCACGAAACAGGGTCACGTGGATTAGGAAAAACCAAGTAACAGTTCTCCAAAAAGTGGCATTGATAATAAGAAAAATGTTTTGCACGCTTTTTTGGAAAAGTGCATATAAAAACACGGAGTAAAATTAATGGATGATAGACTTCTAGCACACTCAAAAACTATATTTGGTATTATTTATAAATATTATTTATTGCCAAGAAACTGTTCTTCATGACATATTTATGCATGGCTGTTTTTCACTATGGAGAAAAATGTGGCATGATTAAACTACTGTTTATCTGTATAAAACAGGAAATGTATCTGTATAAAACAGGAAACTTATCTACATAAAATAGAATAAATAAATCATATTTTAGAAGATTGCAGATGGGCTATACATCAAACAAATCTAACAAAATCACAAGCAGAATAAATGGCAGTGTAGAAGATGAATAAAGAACCTTCCGTGATTAGAGCCTCGAAAAACTCAGTCTTTAGGAAGAGACACCATAGTCTAGAAAACCCCCTTGAAAATTCTAAAGCCTGAACATCTTCCCTGAACATCTTCCCCTGAACATGTTCCTCTGAACATCTTCCTCTGGCTTCAAATGTCTTTTAATATTAAAGAGGCTTTATAAGAAGTGAGGTCATCAAGATTTCAGTTATTTATTGTGTAATTTTTAGTTTTTATTTAATTATTGAGTAAGAGTGGAATACTTAACAGATGTATGAGTTTTAATGAAGTAAATCAGAGAATATATGTAGTGTAATTACTACTGAGGACTTTAAATGTGTATATAGTCCAGAAACAATTTCTTTTCCTTCTAAGGGGAGAATTCAGGTAAACAGCTTGTTCATATTATTTATAATAATTGCTAAAGTTTACTATTTTATAAGTTCTTACTCTATGCTGGGAGCTCCACTGAGCACTTTATATACACGGTCTCCTTTAGCTTAGATAAAAAATACATGAGGCAAGTTCAAATGATGGCAAAATTCTGGGCCTCTCTAAAGATCATTTTCCCCTTCTGACAATCCAGAGCAAGTACCTACTCACCCCCTGGTCGTGAGTATTAAATGTGATAATTCACCGCAGTCCCTTAGCTTGGCCTACCTCATAGTAAGTATTCCCAAAAAAGTAGCCTTTATTACTACAGAAATATTATTAAACATAAAAAGCTATTCTTTATCTTAATTTTTTTAAGTAGGCTCCATGTCTAACATGGGGCTTGAGCTCATGACCCTGAGATGGAGTTGAATGCTCTATTGACTGAGCCAGCCTGGCACCCCAAAGCTATTCTTTATCTTAACAGAACAATCTGAATATAGGAAATGATGTTTTTTAATTCAAGAGTAACATTTGAGGAACTGAAATACAGTTGACCCTTGAACAATGCAGGGGTTAGGGTGCTGACCCTTGAGCAGTTGAAAATCTGTTTATATCTTCTGGCTCCCAAAAGACATAACTAGTAATAGCTAATAGCTTACTGTTGACCAGAAGTCTTACCAATGATAACATAAATAAGTCTATTACACATATTTTATATGTTATATGTATTATATACTGTATTCTTACCATAAAGTGAGCTACAGAAAATGTTGTTGAAAAAAATCATAAGAGAAGATACATTTACAGTACTCACTATATAAAAAAAAAATCCACATATAAGTGGACCTGTGTAGCTCAAACTCATGTTGCTCAAGAGTCAACTGTAAATTTTATTTATTTCTATCTATTCTACTTAGTTACACTGAAAGTCTGAATTGGACATTGGCTACTTAAAAATATTAATTTAAAAATTTTTAGAGGGAAATTTTGATGAGATGCTGAAAAGGAAAAAAGCTAAGTGAATCTCTAACAACATGAGGTAGGGAATTTTGTGAGAAATTTAAAATATAATTCCCTAGAATATTTAATTATGGAGTGATCAAAAGAGAAATTACTATGGTTTCAGATTTCTTTTTGAAAATATAACCAGTATTTATTTTAGTAAAAGTAATGTTTCAGCATGCTCTAAAAAGATAAGGAATACTGCAAATTAAAATTATGGTATTTCAAATTATATGTAAATAACTCACAAACAATTACAGATATTTTGTAACATCTCTATTTGGAAAGAACGTTGCTCTGTGCTTCAACCCTGTCCTCTGTTCAAATGGGCAGTGAAGTACATAGGGTTGTAATGATTAAATAAGACCATGCACTTGAAAAAGATCTGTCGATTTTAAAACACTACAAATACAAAATATTATTCCTACCCACGTAGAGTTTTCTGGAAATGCTCCTTCCATATTGGCAGGGGAGGAGACTGGCAAGTCACTGGGAAATTTGAGGCAGGTGTGGCATTTTTATCTTTTTTGGTCAGATCCTACAATTACAAATTGCCCTGCTATCCCTTGGATTTGATTACATTGTAGGTAAAATTCTGTGTCAGATGTATGTTATGTTTTTAGATATGTCCTCCGTTATGCAGAAAGTCTTTAAAGTCAATATTAGCATTATTCCCCAAAGCCAGGATTATGACAGAAATCAACAAATCTCAAATTGTTCATCTGTTTCTCTTTCGAAAGACTATTTTATTAAAGATACACATATCCTTTTTCACCAAAATTAGACTTCCCGTTACCATATCAAGCAGAATTCTTCATTAAAAATATGAATGTAGAAGAAATGTTGGCCAGCGAGGTTCTTGGAGACTTTCTTGGGGCGGTGAAAAATGTGTGGCAGCCAGAGCGTCTGAACGCCATAAACATCACGTCAGCCCTAGACCGGGGCGGCAGGGTCCCACTGCCCATTAATGACATGAAGGAGGGGTAAGCAGACCTTTATCTCATTGCCTTAAATATGCATTGTTAAATATGGTGATCTTATCAAACTTATTATAGATAAAGGATGGCCTATTGCATTCTTTTTAATAAGTAGGTATTATACAGATATGAAAACACTAGCAATTTTCTATATTGACAAAGAGGTTACATTAATGGTTCTTTATATCTGATGTTCCAGGTCCTGAGAATTCTAATTGTAGATCAGGATCAGCATCATAAATTATAGCACTAAGTCTTTTGTACCTTCCATAGAGGAGCTGAGTATTTAGGGTCCTGAATTTCAAAGGAAATTGATGCCCCAGTTATCAGCTGCAGGACACTCAGACTGCTGTAACTTTATTCTAGGAAACTATTTCTTCGCTTTAACATTCTTTCCACCATGTGTCGGTGATGGATAGCTGGAATGGATTTGAAGCCTATTCCTAAAGCCTGGCCTTGTCACTCATAAGCTCGGTGACATTGGGCAAAATGCAGCACTCCTCTGTGCCTCGGTTTCCCCATTTGCTCCAATGGGCATTGTACTCTTTCTTCCTTCAGAGTTGTTATAGTGTCTAAATGAGAGTGCATTTGAGAGGGATTCGTCTATTGTCATGCTTGCAAACGATGACTTATACCTGTATAGTTTAAGAAACACGTTTTATGCCTGGATAAATTGAAAGGATTGAATGTCAACATCAAATCAAATTTGGTCTTTAATTTTTAACCTGTAGGTTGAAGCGGATCTACCTTTTTTTTTTAAACCATTCTATAAATATACGAGATATGGAATAAATCACAGTTTATATAGCATATGCCTTTCCAACTCCTTTATCCATATTCATGGTAACATTTTTATACAGGTGATATCTGGAATTAACTAAAATACCTGGATTAATAAGAACTAAATTTAAGGGCAGCTTTAACAGAGAACTTTGTTGGAAATAAGGGAAGAGATCACAAATAGACACAGATGAAGTATGGGAGAGTAGGTAGAAGGGGGATAAGGGATAAGCAGTGAGCTGTGAAGTCCAACTTACAAATTTCAGAATTAAATTGTAGCTTGTATGTTACAGTAATGGATTTTGAAGTCAGTCAAGCACACATAGAAGTGCTTTGAGAAAAATAGCTGCTTTATCTCTTTATCTGTTGGTTGGCTTTCTATATGAAACCATAATTTTAGAGCTTAATTTTTTTTTACTTCAGAGTTCCAGCATGATTCTGTTTCCCACTGAGTATTTAAAGTAGAACCATGGAAAATGATGAACAGAGAATCTCCCCTGAAAACATTCTCCAAAGCTGGAGTCTTTTCAACAGTTTCTTAAAGTGATGTGTTTGCAATGATTGTTAAAACAATGACCACAAGATGTTAGAGGAAGCAACCTGAAAAACAGGCATTGGTAGGGTTTTCCCTGGTTGTGCTTTCTTCTGGGCTCACTCTTCCATAATCGGTAGTGCAGGCCCCGCCCACAGAGGCTCTTTTAGAAACAACGACCCTAAATTGAACTGAACAACTATCTAAACCAAACGCTGACAAAAAAAAAAAAAAAAAAAATGGTGCTTCTCAACCATGTCTAGCCTAAGAATTGCCAGTAGAGCTTTAATAAAAATATGGATAGGTTCCTGGCTCCTGCTTCCCCTTAGAGATTCTGAGTCTTGGAGTCTAGGGCTGGGCCTGAGCATGTGACTCTAAATTAAGAACAGAATTTTTGTCCTATAAGTACTTGTTAGAGAATTCAGTCATTAGCTGACTGACCCCCTAGCACCTGCTAGAGGGAGGCATGTGCTGTCAGATATTTGAGAGAGTCAGTCCCATGGCATTTATTTGGACCCTGTTGTCTCAGATCCCTTCCCAACTTGAAATGCTTTCCATGAGTTTTAATTTAATGTTAAGCCATAACCTTTACAAAGTATTCATATGATAAGTCTTTTAAAATAGCATTTCTATAAATTGTATGCAATGCCAACTCTACTACTCCAGTGTCCCTATATGAACACCAGTGAAACAAGATCATACTTGAGTATCATTCCAGAAGAAAAAATTGTCCCTGGAATGATTTTGCGTATCTTCTTTAGTTGTTATATAATGCCTTGGTAACACAAATAATTTTTTACCCTGTTGCCTGAAACTTAGAAATAAATCCTATGCTTGACTAACTCCTCTCTTGTGCTGTTCTTCCTTTTTGCTGATGTAAGAATCATAATTCTTAATTTACCTAATAAACTTTTTGCCTCCGTACTTTCTTTTGAAAGTAACCTGGGCTATAAATCCCTTTTAAAAGTGAAATTTTGAAAAGCTCAAGAAGTAAGGTCAGTATAGCAAAAGAATTCCATCCCTTTCTTTTTTTTTAAACTTATTTTACATTTATTTAGTTTTTGAGAGAAAGAGAAAGGGAGCATGAGTGGGGGAGGGGCAGAGAGCGAGGGAGACACAGAATCTGAAACAGGCTCCAGGCTCTGAGCTGTCAGCACAGAGCCCGACGCGGGGCTCGAGGTCACAGACCGAGAATTCGTGACCTGAGCTGAAGTCAGATGCTTTACCGACTGAGACACCTGGGCGTCCCAGTCCCTTTCTGTTTTAAGATTTTATTTAAAGATGTAGTCATGTACTTCTGAAGTATTAATTGAGCACCTGATAAGTGAGTTCTGCTTAATATTTAGTAGCAAAAGTCTCAGACTGTTAAACATACACACAAATGATATCTCCATGAAACTATTTCCTATTACTCATGGCAGCCACAATCTGCTAATGGCAAGTTTTTCCATATTTGATAGATGGAGTCAGATAAACAGCAGATGAATAAAAGTTCTCCGCAGTAGACCCATCAGAGGAAACCCACTGCCCTTCTGCAGCCCCAAGTGCTGTTAAATGTCAGTCACCAAGACCCCCCTCTGCAGCATCCTGGCTCCTCATCCTTCCTGATGTACATTTGTGCACCTCTCGAGGCTCACTGACAGCTTTCAAACTTCTCCTAACTCTAGCAGAAAACAATTACAAAGATTTACTTCAAAGTAAATAAGCTCCTGCGAAGGAAGGCTGAGCCTCCTGAAAAGATTTTCTTTCCCTTGCCAGACCCATAACCCCGGGCAACTGTGCTGGCTCTGGGTGTGGTCTTGCTGCTGCTTTTGCTCCTGATAGGGAGCCAGAGGCTAAGGACTCGTGGGTGCATTTAGCCTGGGATAAAGCTCGTGGAAAAAGGAGTGGGTTCATATTTCATTCTAGGCATGGCATAGCTGCCAGCCCGGGGTGAGTGATGTGGTGTAAATGGCGGCTATGAAGGGAATGATGGGGTGTGAGGATTAAAGAATATACTCACTTTTCATAAGAGATTGTCAAACCCACCACTATTTCCTCTGGTTACCAAAGCATGTGGATCTAGCCTCAATCAGCAACAGAGAATCCTAGTTTATTCGTTAGACAATCTCACAAAATACTCCCTCTAATTAATTGTTTGCTTTCTGCCCTATGAAGGCCTCAGTGAGATGTTACACTTGGGGAAGAGAATGTAAGTCAGTGGCTGCCAAATACTGCTCTGATGCAAGGTCATGATCCTGGGCCAGTCTGTAGTGCTCTGCTGACTTTGTCCCCGTGTTTTCTGATTTATGAGATTGTCCTTTATTCTTAAGTAACGTGCCTCCTACATTTTTGGTGCAAACATTCTTTTGTGGAATGATGCTGATAACCTGATGGGAAATTCTAAAATAGAGCCTTAGTAATGTAAAAATTGGAAGTCCATAAATCTATTTTTGTAAGTATAAGTCAGTATAGCTATATGCCTAAAGTCTGTTCGGGGTGCCTGGGTGTCTCAGTTGGTTAAGCGTTTGACTTTGGCTCAGTCCGTGAGTTCGAGCCCCGCATCAGGCTCTGGAGTGCCTGGAGCATGCTTCGGATTCTGCGTCTCCTTCTCTCTCTCTGCCCCTCCTCACTCACACACTGTCTCTCTCTCAAAAATAAATAAACATTAAAGATTTTTTTAAGTCTATTCTACGTTCCACATATAGATTCATTTTTTCTTTTGTAGTTAAACACTTACTAAGTATTTGTATTCAGGAACTATATTAATCTTTAATGTACAGTGATTTTAAAAAAATCTACGCTCACAATCTAGTAGGAACCAGGTGAGTAATCAGATAATTAGAAAACAGTGTCATACACACCACTGCTGAGATATTCACAGAGAGTGTATCTCCTTCACTTCAGCTCCATGCCTGGAAAGGGTTCATAGAGGAGGGGGAAGCATGATCGCAGTTTAAAATACAAATTAACCTGCCCCCAAAAATAGCAAAGAGGGATTCTAGATAGAGGGGTCAGCTTGAGCAAAAGCCTTCAGGTAGGAGAAACCCTGATGGATTTGGCAACCTATTTCAAATGGATTTGGGGGACAGGGATCCAGAAGTGGTAGTTTCCAAGGAGGCAAAACCCAGACTGGATAAAGCCCTGTATACCAAGAAAAATTGTTTCTGTTTTATCCTGAAGCATTAGGGACATTTGCAAAATATAACACATGGTGAAGAGTGGTAGAGTAGACTGAACCCGAATGCCTCCCTTCTGCACGCAGGAAAGTCTCCCCCCGACACACAGAACTAGAAGGGTCTGACCCTTCAGTGTGTGCCAGTTCCCTCTTCTGATAATTTATTCTTTCTCCAATGGAGAGGAGCAAGTGAACAGTAGAACAGAGTCTGGAAGTGCCCTTTATTGTATTTCTTATTCTGTATTACATCTTTTATTTAGTTTAATTTATCCTTTATTGTTCATCTTATTTTTTGATTGATTGGTTGCAGATATGCACAGAACAAAGACATGGTGTGGGGACAGAGGCAGGAATCATAGTGCATTTTCTTTTAAGAGCTCAAGTTCCCAGGCAACATGTAACATGTGGACACATTCTTCCCTAAACTCTCTTTTATTTCCTATTTTATTTACACAAAATAAAGAATAAGGCACATTCGTTTCTTGGACAAATAGGTAAAGTATGCATTCATTGGATCCATTTAGCTAACAGAAATCT